GGGGAATTCTGGGAGTTGAAGTCCACCCCTCTTCCAGGGGCCAAGGTTGAGGAACACTGTTTTACTAACTCCGTCTCTGGATCTTACCAATGCCAATCAGCCTTTCGAACCAACCGGCGGTCGCAGAGAAGTGGTTTTGGATGGTTGGCCGGGGGGCGCCCAGCAGGTCCAGCAAAACAAAGAGAGACTGCAAGGAAAGAACAAACTGAAGCAGTCGATCTGCGACCCGTTAGCACCTTGACCCCTTCCTCCCGCACAGACCTCCCCCGCCTCAAAAGGGGCTGGAAGCAAGAAAAAAAACCAAGCCAGAAATTGGGCTAGGAGGACCACACAGGTTAACTCTGTCCAAAGGGGTCAACCTCGAAGGAAATCCCCGTTAAGAGGCTCGCGTCCAAGACTCGTGTAACTGAACGGCCCTCCACCCAAAATAAAATGGCATCCCTGCATGTAGAAAGCTAAGGGGTCAGCAAAAGGGCAGCGGGGCATGCAAAATAAAATAACGTCCCTGCATGTAGAAAGCTAGGGGGTCAGCTGGAAAGGCAGCCATCTTTTTTATGTTGTTATTATTAACCTGAATCTTTGCAAGATGGTAAGTTATGGACCCTAATCTACCATATCCTATCCAACCTGGGTCTCCCTGCTCCTGGTCCAGCACTACAACCACTATCCCCCCCTGGTCCTCAGTTATACACATGGATGGAAAAGAGTTCTTCCAAGACCTTGGAAATGGTCAGCGGTACCAGGAAAAGGCCATTAGAAATCAAAGCTTCAGCCCAGACTCTGAGGTCCTCCTTCAAATCCCAGAATTGAACTCCGTCGCCTGCCCAGCTCTCAGAGGGCCATTCTCTCTTGACATAACCCCCCTCGCCAGGTTAGGGTGCAGGCGAGATGGAGGGTGGCCATGCTGGCTTTGAAGGGGGGCAAGTGGAAAATAACATTATAAGATTCCCGACATCAAGCAAAGCTTTCCCTGCCCGTTGCAAAAGGATTCAGTGACGTGTCACAGCAGCCAGTTTGCATTAGCAGTATCTGGTCAAAGCCCCGATGATGTCACCTGCGTGATGATGTCATCCTGCCCAAGAGTTCCCCTGCAGGGTGACATCATCCTGGCTTCAACCAGGCGCTTCTTATTTTATTAATATTTATTGTACTATGTATTATATATATATATACACACACAAACACACACACACACATATATATATATACACATACATACATACATACATATATTATAATATTTATAATAATTATAAAAATAATAATATAATATAAAAAATAAACATTATTATAATAATTAATAAAATTAATGTTAATACTATAAATTAGGCTTCCATCCTAATGTCCCATCCCAGAGAGAGACTCACTATGGCCTGGAGCTGAGTGAGGCCCTGTTGATGTGGGGCCCGCCCCATGTGCTCAGCTAGGTGACGGGCCCCATAGAGGGAATCAGTCTCACTCCACTCCCGGAAAGCTTCTTCCCCATCAAAAAAGAGCAGCTGCAGCGTTATTTCCGAAGCCTGAAACCACAAAGAAGGCGGGTTACACGGCATTTTGTTGCCCCAAAGTCACAAAAGGGATCACGGGGAGGGAGGGTCACGTCCATTTAAGTCCATCTCTTACGTCCTCGGTGGAAAATACTCGCATTTGGTTTGCCCAGAGAATGCACGGTTGATCCTTCGCAAATTTCCCCCCGCTAAATTTAAAAAAAAACGCCCAGAGGCTCCCGTGGGGTCAAATAAATCATTTTATACATGCATTTGAAAATAAACAGAGTGGCATTTGCAGGATAGGGGAGCCAGAGAAAACAGTGTTCACTTTGGACTTCAAGGGGCTGCACATCCAGAAAAAAAGATTTCTGCATTCAAGGGGTCCCACCCAAACCGATGGGAAGGATGAAAACGGCACTCTGCCAGCTCTAACCACTAGTCTCTGCTCCCTCCCCCCGGAAAAAGCAGAGACCCGACCCTGGCGTTCCCAGCTTGCCCCGGGCCTGCTCACCTGCCCTCGGGCCTTCAGCAGTGATTTGTCCAGCGCGGTCACCAGCTCCAGCAGGATGGAGCAGGGCACGGCCGAGTCCGTGGCCCCCACGAAGGCCCGTCCGTGCTGGTCTCGGGGGAAATACTTTGAGTCGTAGTGGCAGGCGAACACCAGGCGCCAGGTGGCCGCGGGGTCCAGCGTGGCCACCACGTTGGCAAAGCTGACCGTGCCATGTGGGGTCTGGTCCTCAAAACCATCCAGTTCCACCCGCCAAGGAGCTTCCAGGGCCCTCAGCCTGTCCACGATGAACTCGGGGGGAATCAGAAAGGCAAAGCATGAGGACCAGCTAAGGCTTTGCGCAGGTTCCTGGTCCTCTTTGGTTTCCGGAAAGTCCCCGGCCACAATCCTCCAGCAGCACCCCAAAAAATAGGACCCACCACAGCCTTTCCCCCCCCACCAAATGAGCAACAGAGTCGTTTCACAGAGATGGGCGGTGACGCATTTGACAAATAAATAAATAAACAAACAAATAACAGGGGAAGCATTTAAATTAGCCATAGATGAAGCATGGCTTGGCGCCCACGAGCACAAGCAGAGGGTCATTTCCCTTCAAATCCCCACCGCAAGAACCGCGTCCTCAGACTTCGGGGCAGCCAGAGCTCTTCATTCTCTCCCCACCAGCAACTTCGTTATTTCCCTAAGCAAGGGTGCCCGATTGGGTACTTGGATGGGAGACCACTAGGAAACCCGGCCAGACTGGAAAGTCAAAACCATCCTGGAAGACGACGATGGCCAAACGCTGCCATGCATGGGCACGAAATCTCCAAGGGTCCAGCTGGATTAGAGAGCCATTTTACTTCATTTTATTCAAAGGGCTTTGAAACGACTCACAGCATGTAACTGACATGATCACAAGATCCTCTGGCGGATCCCTGGGGATCAAGCATCCTCTTTCCCTTCCCTTCTGCAGAACCAAACGGAGCCGCGTTCTTTTCAGGAGGGGCTCCTGGGGTTTTGTTTTGGTGCCTTCAAGTCCATTTTGACGCCTGGCAACTGCCTGGACAAGCCTCTGCAGTTTTCTTGGGAATACTTTTTTGCAAATGTTTTGGGTTTACTCCACATCCATTGCAAGGGAAGCTGAAACTCAAACACTGAGGCCCAGTTCACAACATCCTTGGGTCAACAGCTGCTTTACTCCTTCCAACCTTCAATAACTTGGCAGAGGGAGGAGCAGAGATCTACTGTCCGGGTCCCCAATAGGGTCAAAACTCTGTCAATGTTTAGGACCTATTAGCTCGGCTTTCTTACTTTTCCTACCAGTTGTGTGTGTGTGTGTGTGTGTGTGTGCGCGTGTGCACCCTTGAGACAAGTTTCCATTCCTGGCAACTGCCTGCACAAGTCCCTGAAGTTTTCTTGATAACATTTTTGGAAGGGGTTTGCCCTGGCCTCCTCCTTCCCAGGGCTGAGAGAGCGGGACTGGCCCAAGGTTGCTCAGCTGGCTTTGTGCCCAAGGCAGGACTAGAACCCACAGCCTCCCAGTTTCTAGTCTGGTCCTTTAACCAGTACATCAAATTATCACCCTGGGAGTTATCTAGGGTAGGCCTAAAGGCCAACTGATCTTGCAAGTGGCTTGTAAAGATAATAAAAATGTTGTTTTCCTGCTACAGTATTTTATCCAACAGGTTTCAGTATGCTGTGGGGTTGTTATTTTTTTGGTTAAATCATTTCCTTCTCTTTAGAAGGCAGTTTTATTTGACAGGCCTCTGGGCACACGAAGGGTGGTATCTAAAAATGCCGAAAATCATTATTATGGAGCAGGGGGCTCATATGTGCTCCCAGGACCTGGCGAAAGATGTCTTTCACGTCTATACGTGCGAAAGGATTTCAAGGACAGGATCCAGGTGGCAAGTTCTACAATGGGAATGAACTCACCTGTCGGACTTTGACGTTCCCGGGACTGCCCGAATACCTCTCGACCAGCATGGGCTGCAGGTAAGTCTTCCAAAGGCGTTGCAGATCGAGCTGGGAGGTCAGGTGTTTTAGCTGGCTGCTCGACAAACTTCGCGGTTTATGGTTCAGCTGTCAGAAAAGAACATCGTCCATTCATTTACCCCTTGTGGGAGTTTTTTGAAGCAGCTGTTTGGGTTTTATTTCTCTAAAGCCCTGTTTTTCAACCTTGGCCCCTTTAAGACAGGTGGACTTCAACTCCCAGAATTCCCCAGCCGCATGC